TACTGATATGTAGAGAATCGATTCCACCGAATCTATTCGGTTACCTATTCATGCAGAACTTGAATACTTGTGTCTAAAAGCAAATCATTTGGATAAAATACACTCTTAATCAAATCAAAGACTTCAGATTTCAATTCGTCATACAAGCAGTCCCTACAAGGTGTACTTGGATATTGCTTTTCATCATCTATCAATCAACAAGGGCAATGGAAAATCCACTACCTAATCTCCTTCTAATCCTATAACCCTGGAAACTCAATTTAATCTTCAAAAATCAGACAAATTGATGTCCTAATCAATTGGTTGACAGTACTAATCGGCCACCTACTATTCACAGACCACTAGCTGGACCCAAATCATACCCCCCAGTCCCCTGACCCACACATAATTGCCTAAGAGGAGAGTGACTCGGGCCTGTTGCACATTCATAATTTCGTTTGGCAACTGTAACTCGTTTAGCTGGCTTTTGGTCCAGTTCCGGCCGTAGAGGCCATTTCCTGGCCGCCCAAACACACACACACACATGCAGATGCACATGCAAATGGACAAAGGCCGAGTGTGGGCCGCATTCCCTGGTCCCTGGTCACTGGTCCCTGGCGATACCAATTGGATTATGCATGGGCTGGATAAACGAGTTAAAAATATATTTGCAGAGCACATGTGGACAGATGGAGGGGCACGTGGATATGGACAATCTGGTGGCACAGGAAGCTGCACAGAGGTGGTGCACGGAGCACGGAGCACGGAGGCTGTGTTGCGTGCTTGTTTTGTGCGTCAAAGTTTTAATTAAACTTGTAAATGTTTTTGCCGCAACACACAATGGGAGAAGCGGGCAAAAAGTTAACACAACACTTTATGTGTGGCAGGGCCATGGGGGAATATATTCCGATGGAGATAGGTCATGGGTTAACTTTGGAGAGCACTTACCAACATTGCCCTCCGCTTGGACAAGATCTCCATGGCTGGCAAGGAGTAGGATCAGTAGCAGGAAGCCGAACTGCAGCAGCTTGGCCGGCCGCTTCAGTGCGTCCAGGCTGCAGCACAACAGGCCACCGCCGCCGCCAACTCCGACTCCACCCTCGGCACCAGCTCGGCCACAGCCCCGCACTTCCCGCCGTCGAGCCCCCTCACTGACTAGCAGGCGGCCACGGGCGGTCAGTGCCGGGAGCGGCTTACGCGGATGATGCAGTAGCTCGTGTTGGCGCGGCTGCCGTTGATGCTGCCCCTGATGCTGTTGTTGTTGGCGGTGGTGGTATTGCTGCTGCTGCTGCTGGGATCGCTGTTTAGGCCAATCTTGGCATCCTCCGGGTCCAGACGGTCGACCCTCGACTACTGATCGTACTCTCTGTAGCGTCGGCTCTTCACTGGTTGTGCATTGATCTTGCTGTTGTTGTTTTACATTGCTTGCCATGATAATCGGCACACCTGGAAAAACCATAGAGAAAATCAGTATCTGTGGCTCCAGATAAGGGGTTAATTTATATCTAAAAAATAGTCCCATGATGGAAACACCGTGGTTTCTATCTATAATTTCTATCAGAACTAATTATTTTCTTTGAGTGAAAAAACCGCTTGTTTTCTGTCCCATAACTCCTTATATTTCTTTACAAAATTTCAAAAATGTATGCAAACATTTTCTGCTAATAGCCTTGCTCTCCCGCTTGGCTCTGGAGGGGTGTGGAATATGATCTGGGCGGAATCCGCACACACACACACACACAGAATGCTCCTCCTTGTTGTTAACGGAAATTAGCAATGTATATTCGCAGCATGGCCACGCCCCGTTTGCCTCTTGAGGGAAATTGCATTTTATTGTGCCAGGGACAACTTTTCGCTTTCCGGCATTTCCATATTTCATATTTTCACACAATATGCACACAATGCCGGAGCACCTTAAAAGGGAAGGAAAATGCTTGGGGGAGTGGGAGCGGGAGTGGGAGTGGCGGTGGTAGTGGGTGGAGCGATTCCTTATTGTTGTTGGTGTGGGTGTGCGCCATTTGTCGCGCTGCAGTTTCCTGTTTGCTGCTTTTTAGTTGTTCGTCTTTTGTATGGGTCCTGGCCCGCGGATACTCCGAATAGTCCCTGGCTCCTTATATGGTAATAAATGTCAGACTTCAGCTCGGCCCAGACTCCTCTTCCCCCCTCCAGAAGCCGGAGGCAAAGGAAATTGATTTTCTTTGCCGTTTCACTGGCTTCAGGTTTGCGGTGGGGCAGGTGGTTCGGTGCGGATTCGGATGCGGTTGGGTGGCTCAGGACAAGGCTCGGCTGTCGTCGACGTCGTCTGGGGTCATTTGGCGATAAGCGCTTCAGCCCCATGCTCAAGGTTGACATATTTCAGATGGGGGTCCGACATTCATTTCGCTCCAAACCGCAAAAACCGCCCCCCAAAATGGGATTCCAGCTCATCAACAGCTCGACCGCAGCGATGTGGCAGATTAAGCCCCAACCCGAAAAAGAACCGTCAAATTATGGACCAAGACAAAAGCAATATCAACACGAAAACCAAATGAAATAACCTGTCAAGAAGGAGGAAAAAGACATGTGACTAAGGGATACACCCTACTAAGTCCATACTAAAAGATACTTTCCTAATTTAATAGACAACTTGTGGAAAAACTAAGGGAAAAGCGATAAATTTAGTCACAATTTGATTAAGAGATGGTTTCTGTAAGTTCTTTTACTGTAAGTTCTTTCATGCACTTTAAGCAGCAGCTAGTGAAGAATCTTTACTAGTTTTCTGTTTTACTTTCCTTGAACTTTAGCTCTTAGTTCAACAGAAACTTAAACATCAACAGAAGCCAGGCAAGACAAGAAGGATAGATACTCGTGTGTACATATGTATATCGTTTCCGAAGTACAATATAAATGTCTTGGCTAACATCTCAATTACAGAAACATCTTTTTATATATGTATGGGCAAACAGCCGCCGTCGAAACATGGCTGGAACAGGGGCCATCATATTGTAATATGATTTCAATCATTTCTTGAAACTTGCATGATTAATGCGTTACAGATTCTTGGCTCCCAGCAGCCAGCACCCAGCAGCCAGCACCCAGCGGCTTCTCTAATGGACTTTATTGCCTTGACAGACCCGCCGTCTCCGGGCCAAGACCCAGACCCAGTGTTGATGTCTCCTTGGTGCCTTCTGCTCCTTGGACTGGCTGATGCCTGCCTGCCAGCCTGCCAGCCTGTCTGCCTGTGGGCTTGGGTTCATTTTTCATGCGCAGGCCGTCGCGCCGCGTCTCAGGAAAAACAAAAAGGAAAACCAAACTACAAAGCTAAACTAAGCCTCGACTAAAGTGGACAGAGGGGGGGCGGAGCCCCAGATGACACTCACTGCAGCATATGGGGCGGGATAATTAATCATGGGACGAACGTGCCAGCCAAGACAAAAAGTTTTCCACATCGAATCGAATCGACCGAAAAGTTAAAAGCCGACTTCGGCCTGCCTTGGACTCCTGGCAATACTGTGGGCTGGCTGATATGAATTTATGACTGGCAATAGCGAATATCTGATTAGATGGCCTCTCCTCTTGAATTCAATTAAGGTGGAAGCCACTTAGCCAAGTGGGGAGGGGCGGCGGTTGCATCATCCGCCAGTTGCCAGTTGTTTTCCCCTCTTCCCCATTACATAATTTATGCAACTCAATTAGGAGCTGACCCGAAGATAAAGTTTAATTATTGCCAAAGGAGAAGGAGAAGGAGAAGGGGCAAGGCCAGTGGTCGTTGGTCGTTGGTGGGTTGCGCCTGACTTTTTCGCCTCACACTTTAATTAAAAGAACCGAGCAATTAAAAACGCATCAGCGAGGGTTAAGCCGCGCCAGAGACATCCAGATCTCGGGGAAAGACATATGAATCGGATATGAATGCAATGTGCAACGGATTGCTGGCCCTGGACCTTGCAACAAGTGCGGAATGGGTCCGCTAATAGGGTGTGGCACTTTTATCTTAAATATAGTTAACTGGCAGGCAGGCTTTTAGGGATCCACTCTCCACACACATACACGACTCTGGCCTGCCGCTGGCAATGTGCCTCCGAAAACCGCAGCAGGCAGCGACCACGGGCGCCGCCGCACGGCTCTGAGCTCCTTGTTTGTGCGGCACTTTCGGTGGCCAGAACCGCAGACAATCCTGCTGCCACAGCTGCAATTAAAATGGATGAAAATGGCTTCAAACGTACATTTGTTGCACGGTCACTCGGCACCCCATCCCCGCCTCACCGCTTGACCCCGGACATTAAACCACAGCTTCTTTTCCTTTTCCTCTTCCTTTGGCAATGCCATTTCCATTTTCATTTTCACTCTGTTTTCCGTTTGGCTTTTGCCACCCGCGGCGACAAGCTACGTGTTTTCCCAACCAAATACAAATTCAGACCCCGCCGGGATCGGATAGGATCTGGCGTGCCGCGGGGACAGCTGCACTTTCGCTTTTTCCGCTAACACTCCGTCGCCAGTTCCATCCATTGGCCTTGTCAGGCCCGAAATTTCGTAGCTGGCACGTGGCACGTCTGCACTACGGATTTTCAATCATCAATTTCAATTTCAATTGCAAATTTGTTAACGCAAAACTTTTATTACCATGCTGCAATACAAATTGCGCTGCTGTGCGGTTTCTTCCGTCGGTTGCAGATGAAAGTTTTTCGCCAACTGAACATTCCATTTGCTAAATAACGCATAACACATTCATGCATATTAAATTCAAACTTGTGTTCACAAATTATTAAGGTATTAAACTTCTATCTAAAATGATTTTAAAGCGACGACCCGATTGGTTTTTAATTTGCATCACACCACATTCGTTAGGGATGCGCATAGGGGCCTAGTGGTGGCAAAAACTTCCGTTCTTTTCGAACGATTTTCGATTATTTTTGCGCCTTGCAGCACATTTTTTGCAAAGAAGAGCAGATCAAAGGTACTAATATAATCTTCAAACCAGTTGTATCCCTCGATAAGACAGTCTTTTATGGCCTCGAGGTGGGGAATTAGAACAAGAATACAAATCACGCAATACCAACAGTTTATTTTAGTAATTGTGGTTTCGGGTTACATTTGCAGCAGTATTATGTAAGTTTTTAATGGTCGAAGTTTTTGTAAAATGTTAAAAGAACTCTTGTATCTGTATGTGGCAGAAGGTTTTGAAGATCTTCTGCCACCGCTCAACCCTCGGTTCTATGGAGAGGAGCTTGATTATAGTAACGCTTATAGAACTTAACTTGATCAGTGTAGTTTTTTGTAGCCCAAAGGAACGGCCAGGGCAGCAGAGCAACAGCAATGGCCTAAAAATGTGAAAGATGCTGGAATTGGGTAACTGGTGGCATCATAACAGGAGCAGGCGGTGCACGATATGAGCACGAAAAATCTTGAGTATTAGTTGGTTAATGGAATGACCCGTGTGTTGTATGGACGTGTGTTTGATCACCCTATAAACGACGCTCCAACTATTTGCGCGTCATCTTCTTGGTCATTTCCTTTAGCATGATGATTACGTCCTGCATGAGGCACACGTACAGCGGCCAGGCGATTGCCGCGAAGAAGATCATATTGGCTATAGGGCCATTCTTAGCGGGCACCTGGCAGCCCTGCAAAGACAGATCACAGATCATGAGGACTCGATCAAATCAGACCTCACATCAGGACTTACTCCGCTTGTAATCGTCACTGCGGGCCGGGCTGCGATTAGGTTGTGTGCTATCTTGTGGACGCACTGGACTATGCACTTCAGAGGCATCTCGAATGGTTTGGTTTCAGAATTTTGTTTTACAGAACCAAAATAAATGTTGTCGGAAACATTTGATGTGAACGGAATGAACAGCCAAAACGTTATGAGACCTGACTGCCCAAAACCTACACGAAATTTGGCTAGAATAAAGTTGAAAGAAGGCCTACTAAGATTCCCGAGTTTATGCTTTTCTGATGCCTGTATTTGATTCTAAGTTAATTTATAAGGTCTTGAGACAATGCTATTGTTGAATACTATTCGAGATACCAGCCATTCATCCAATAATTGCTTTCAAATCAGCTTTGCGGCTCAACAGAAAGAGAAGCACGAGCGAAATAAAAAATAGGAATGAGCGTACCACAACACTAGTGTTGTACAGAGTTGATTTTTAAATCGATATTGATCTTTACCACTTTTATTGGCCTGCTTCATCCTTCATTGCGAAAGACGCAGATTTTTTTACAAAGAAATGTCTACAACGAAAAATAAACAAAAAAAAAACGTTGACGATCGCCATGTTGGAAATCACAAAATGTAAACAACCAGCTGGTGTGGCCGCGTTTGCGCTTTTGAGCACTTTGCGCAGTACCACTGCAGCCCTGGTTTGAGCGAAATCCTGAGCAAAAACCGGTTTCAGGAATATAATTTGTCAAAATATTCAGCTGCTAAACGGAATATATTTCTATAGATCTACCCACTCATTGCATTATTTGTTTTCTAGAACATTCCAGCTGCGGTTCAGCGGAGTTTTCTCTCAGTTACAGTTCAGTGTCGAAACACTCGACAGCCCTGACAACCCTGACAACGCTGTCAAACTTCCGGAAGCACATATTCTTTTTTCTTCTACAACAACTGGTCGTCACGGCATCACAAAAAAAAATCCAAAAAACTAGTGCGTATATTTTGTGGGTCTGTTCACGTACAAGTCTCGATTTAGTTCTCAATTTTGCAGAAAATTGAAAGACGAGATGGGAAAAAAGCAAAAGAATCAGAAGGCCGCTGCCACCGCCGCTGCCACCGCCGCAGCCACGGCCTCTGCCACCGCCGCTGCCACGGCCGCTATCAATGTCGGTGAAGCTGCCTTTAAAGCTGCCACAAAAGATATGTGGCTGGACAAAGCGCTTACCTTTGGCCGGGACGAAGAAGCCCCTTCCACTTCAAAGAAGAGCAAAAACCCGGACTACAACGAAGCAATGCAGCAACTGATGGAGATGACCAAGAAATACCCCCAGCTGGGGGACCATGCTTGCACGGCTTTGTCTGATGACGAGGTGGACTCTGATGACGATGTGACTGATGCTGTGGGCAGTTTGGACCCGCAAGCTGGGGCCATGTCCCTCGGCGCACATAGGCAGTCGCGTGGCGAGAAGAAGGCCCGCCGTTTGCTCTCGAAGCTAGACTTGAAGCCCGTGGAGAACGTCAGCCGCGTGACGATGCGCAAGAACAAGAACATCTTGCTCTATATCGATCAGCCCGATGTCTTCAAGGTCGGCGACTCTTACCTTTGCTTCGGCGATGTGAAAGTCGAGGACATCACCCAGATGGCCACCGCTCAGGCTGCCGAGCGCTTTCGCGAAAACGCCACCGCAGCCGATCAGAGCGAGCGGGAGGCCCTTGCCTGGGCTAAAGCTATGGAAAACGACCAGGAGGAGCCGGAGTTCGACGAGGAACTTCTCATGGAACTGGACGACAAGGACATCGATCTGGTCCAGATGCAGGCCACCTGCTCGCGCACCAAGGCCATCAAAGCCCTGCTGGATAACGAGAACGATGTGGTGAACGCCATCATGGCCCTCACCCTGGCCAGCAACTAAGCGCCGAATCATTTAACCACTAATCATTTCATTTAACAGTTCACGATTGATTCAACAATAAAAATGATCTCATGATCTTGTACATGTGCTTCTTTCTGGTTTCGGTTACACATTTTTCAGGCCTGGAGAATCTGCTTTGGGTCCACGGCTTCGTCCGCAAGCTGTCACGCGCCTGCACATACCCTTACTGGGGTGCAGAACAAGCAGCAGCATCTTGCTCTACATCGATGCGCGTTTGCTTCGGGGAAGTGCGCGTCTGTGACATCACTCGTGAGACATCGGACGACTGAGATTTGATTGTACATATGTGTGCACACGTATTCGCAGGCATTCTAGATCTGCGTGCCTGTATGTGTACGTTTTTCTTCGTCGTCAAATATTGTTGCATCATATGATCCATTTACCATAGAATATTACTTCATCGCTCATATGCATGTTCGTGGCCGCACTGTTGCCAATTTTCACCTGCCTGCAGTTACTATCGTTGTCTGGCATTTTCCTTCTATTTTTACATATTTTTTTGTGGGGAAAGGTAATCGCTTAGTTTATTCTTTTGTACCGCTGACGCTGCATTTCAGTTTACTCTTCACTTAGCTGCAGCTGTTTGCCATAGTCTATGCTGGTCCGGAGGTTCATTCTGTGCAGCTTTATCCTTCCTTTAAGGGTTTTTGTGACACATTTTTGACGATGATTGCATTTTTACTTTGCGGGCACTCACCGTTCCAAAAGGAACGATGCTCCTGCTGCCAGGTGGCATGTGGCAAGTGGTACACTGGTGCTGCTGGTGACGGCCGGGGCCCTATAAGCTATGCTCGGTAGGTACTCGTTCAATTAAAATGGGGGGGGGGACTCCCGTCGCTCTGCTGGGCCTCCGTTAGAGCCTGGCAGAGACAATACGCAAAGCCACTTAATAAATAGCTGGCTCTAACTTTCGGCTTAATTTTATTTAATTTGCAGCTGTCGTCAGCAGCCGTAAAAAAGGCTTTAGTTTTGCATTGTGGGGATTCACCAGACCGTATAGTAGCTGGGTTGGTTGGGCACGTGCACGGGTGGTGCTGCTCCGCTTCTTCGCTCCTTTGCTGCTTCGTTCTTTCTTTCTGCTATTTGCGCAAAAATTTTCAGCGGAAAAGTAGAAACTTTGTATTCTTGGCTTCTTGGCTTTATAGTGGATGACTGGAAAATGCTCGCGCGTGTCGGCAGGAGGCTCTGAGGAGAGGGGCAGAGTTTCCACTCCGTGGGAGGGCACCCACACAGTTTCAAGAAGAACGAGGGGGGACAGTACAGAACGGAACAGTTCTGCCGGAAATTGATTAAGTTGGCCGCTCTCGGGCTCTCGGGTCGTCTTTAATCAGCGGAATTGAAAACACCGCTGAAATACAAATCAGTTGACAGTAAGCAGAAGGCAGCGGGGGGCAATATAATTTACTACCAACCCCAACAGCCACTCCGTTCAATTTAGAGGCCAATCCAAAGTGCTTGCCTCTTGGAGCACTGACCAGGAGCTGGAACACAGAAGTTGTTGCAAGAATGTCTCAAGCTGTTGTCCCAGCCAGGGCTTCGTTCTCCTCTTACTACTCCCGCTCTGCCTTATTGGGATTTCCAATGACCTGCCACAAATCTAGGATTCGTAGATACATCAGTCGCTAGTCCAATTTTTTCTGAGATTATTTGAGGGCCACAGCCTCCTTTTCCTTTCCTTCCGGTGAAGGTGTGTCCAGGCGCAACATTTAAAAAGTTTTCATTCGCTTTGCAGCCTCCTGGCGGCTGTGGCGGTGGAGGTGGCTTGCCTAGTGCTTGTACTACTTACAAAGTTATTCCTTTTTGGTGGTTTTTATTCACTTTCAAGTTGATTTGGGTTTCACATTTCGTTGGGTATTTTCTTGACCAAAATCTGCAAGATTTACCATTGTCCTTACGCCTGTCCGCTCCCGTCAGCCCCGTGCCATCTGTCGGTCCGCTGTGCGCCCGAGTATGAAAACCTGCTTGCTGTTTGGCTTAGGGTCTCCTTCTTGGCTTCTGGATTTTCTTCTGCTTCGGTGGCTCTTCCCCTCTGGCACAGTTCATCACATAAGGTTTTTGGGGCTCCCTGTGTATATAGACTGCTGAGCTAATCATGACGCCGATGATGTGGCAGTCTGTATTTGCTTCATGTTCCCACTGGCTGTGCCACTGCCTCTTCTTTCTGACTTTTCCATATCCATTTCCATCTGTCGGGTTAAATGTGGGTTTTCTGCCACTGCCTCTGGGTATTCGCCGATATATTTTGGCCCGAAGTGAAGTGAAGTGTTTGCAAGCTTTTTGCCATTTGATTTGATGCGTGTTTGCCCTTTGGTGCGGCTGGAATGGGTTCTGGGCTTAGGTTCTGGATCAGGCTCGAGAGGGATTCGAGAGGGCCCTGGCAGGTGTTTGCCTGCACTTTAGAGCTCTTTAGGGTTCCATTATTGTGAATATCGAGCTCGAGCGGTGGCAAACAGAGCGGGACTGATACAAAAGCGCGTAAAACGAAGGTCCTGAGTGGAGGTGTGTCTACTCGAAGTGGGAGTGGGAGTCGGAGTGGGGTCGGAGTGGGAGTGGCAGGTGGCACAGTTGATTTAAGGCCTCGACAGGCTCAAGTTTCCTCAGATCCTTTTGTGTAATTGAGGCACAGGGGCAGGGGGACATGCTTGGTCCCGCTTAAAGGATAACAAATCGCTTTTATCCTGACTCCGTTTCCGTCCTACACAATGTGCACCATTCAACCCATCTACGACTGCAAATACACAATTCATAATTCGCTTTTTTTAGGGCCCACACAGCATGAAAGGGGATTTCCGCCGACTCTCACACACACACATACACTCTCTCGAACACACACACACACACACAATGTGAAAAGCAATTAGATAACTTGCCAGCTGGATTCGGCAATTGAAAGTGGGTTGGGAGTGGTCCGGGAGTGGGCGGGGAGTGGGTCGGAGTGGTTCGGGTGTGGGCGGGCGGGGGTCCGGGAGGGGGTCGGGAGTGGTGCTCCAGCTGTGTGTGGCAGGACAATTATCAAAAGTGGCAGCCTCGGGTAATTCCACAATTTGGCCGAGTTAGGAGGATCAGCTTATAATTATTCTCCTAAGTGGTCTGAATTCAATGAGAGAGATTTTGGAATAACGCTTATAAGTATTTTAGTAATTTCAGTCGAAATTCTAATGGAAATTATTTGATTTCGGATGGTTTTTCCCTAATCAACAGTTGCCTAAACTTCAGGGTGGCC